GCTGGTGGCGGCTGCTGACTCGCCGCTCGCTGGTGGCGGCTGCTGACTCGCCGCTCGCTGGTGGTTGCTGCTGACTCACTCGCCTGCTGCTGACTCGCCGCTCGCTGACTCGACGCGCTATCGATCGCGCCGCCCGCTCGCTGACTCGACGCGCTATCGATCGCGCCGCGGGGGCTGGACACACACACACACACGACCGATTACATTACCTCCCCTGCAACTCCGTTGCGCAGAGGTAATACCACTCCGGTGAACAGATCAATCTGTATGACATTGACAGTGTGTTGGCCAGCGCCAGGAGCAAAAATTTCGGATTTGTCTGCACCGACCTCAGTGCCACGATCGATCGCGGCAGCAAGCAACATCGGCATCACAGGCACTTGAAGCGTTTCAATAAAATATAATGCTAACTAAATACGAAATCTATTTACTACCAAATTCTTATAATGTTTCTATACTCTCTTTCACCTACTATTGCCGACAGTTTCCCGTAAATTCCGTCCAAATCCTACGTGCAACCATATATGCTCTCGCGGCTGGCAGCGTATATGGTTGCACGTAGGATTTGGACGGAATTTACAGGAAACTGTCGGCAATAATAGGTGAAAGAAAGTATAGAAACATTAAGAATTTGGTAGTAAATAGATTTCGTATTTAGTTAGCATTATATTTTATTGAAACGCTTCAAGTGCCTGTGATCGGCATCACCACGCAACAGGTGGTACACATATATGTGGCGTCATGCACTACTAGAGGACAAATAATTGTAATACTCGGGTGTACACCGTACACGCATTCGGAGTATACATTGCACACAACGTTTGAGTCTGCTGGAGTAGCAACTGGACAGTGTGGTGAGTGACAAATAGACAGTATCCTGCCATTGACAGTCATACACGTACTTGTACGGTGTGTCGAGACCCAGTGAATGTGTACAGTAGGCCTTATACACGTACCATCATGGGTGCATGAACTGTCAGGTATAACGCCACCTCGTATGGACTGGTCCAGCACGGATCTTCCAACAGCCTTCCAAGAATTCAAACAGTATTGTTCACTAATCTTCGCCGGACCACTTTATGAGAAGTCGGATGAGGAGCAAGCTAATTATGTACTGATATGGATAGGTCAGGAGGGATTACAGATATTTAACTCCTGGAATATTAAAGCAGATAAACCAGCCACATTATGGGACAAGTTTGAGAAACACTTTGAGCCCCAGTCAAATTTTTGGCTGCACATATATCCGTTACAGAAACTGCACCAGTCAGAAGGGGAGACAATTGATGAGTTTATGACTAGGTGTAAGCTTAAAGCAAAGAAGTGCAAGTTCCGTGATGATCAGGAAACGAACGAGAGATTAATTGAACAGTTAATCATCGGTACTGTACACAAGAAGGTCCAGGAAATTCTCTTAGGCAAAGATGGGAAGTTAACACTTGAAGAAGCGCTAGACATTGTCACAACGCATGAAGCGACTGATGCTCAGATGAAACAGTTAGCTGGTGGCGCCAGCGGAGGCACGGTTCACCAAGTTAACAAGGCATAAAAAGCAGACAACAGTCGTATCCAATGTGTCAGTACTGTGGGGTAAACACCCACCGAAACCCATGGATAAATGTCCAGCCTATGGGACAGAGTGTGACTTGTGTGGTAAATTGAACCACTGGAAAAAGATGTGCATGTCCACACGGGTTAGGAACAGAAACCCAAGGTCAATGTCACAGTTCCATAGAGGTCAAAACAGGAATAACAGAGGCAGGTCAGCCTCACGTGGGAGAAGGCACCAAGTTCATGAGGTACATCTTGGTAACAGAGACAGACAGGCAGCCACGAATTCTCTAAATAAAAGTTTTGAGAATCTTTCATTTGAATCCGTGCATTCCAACAACCACCGAGACAGGAGGGACGAAGTATTTGCTAGTTGACATTATACTGGAGAACAAACCGCAGACTCCAGCTACCTTGAAGGTCAAGGTTGATACAGGGGCCCAAGGAAATCTGCTCCCACTGAGAATATACAGACGCATGTATCCAGAGCGACTAGACGGCGAGGGATTTCGTAAGAAAGGTGCCACGAGGACACACCATGATACCTTGTTGACAGGCTACAACGGCTCCCGTATTGCACAATATGGGTCGACGTCCATACCTTGTAGGTATCGGGACAAGGCGTGCGATGCATAATTCTATGTCACGGAATCAGGAGAGCCGGCTCTGATGGGTCTGCCCACCTCACGTGATCTACATCTGGTATCATTGAACTGTGCCGTTAACAAACACGTGAACAGTGAAAATCCTCACATGACTGCAAAGGAGGACTTGGTCCGAATGTATCCAGACAGGTTTGAAGGTATTGGTCACTTCAAGGGAACATTTCACATAACTGTAGACCCGTCCATCCCGCCAGTGGTGCACGCCCCACGACGATGTCCGATTCACCTTCGAGATGAGCTCAAGAAGGAACTTGACGGTATGATGAAGTCAGGAGTCATCACTAAGGTCACTGAGCCCACGGACTGGGTCAGTAGTCTGGTGTACAGTTAAAAGTCAAATGGCAAACTCAGGGTGTGTCTTGATCCGAAGAACCTTAACGAGGCGATAAAAAGCCCACACTATAAGACGCCGACACTTGAAGAGATCACGCACAAATTCGCGGGAGCAACCATTTTCTCCAAGTTGGACGCTCAACACGGATATTGGTCAATAGAACTTGACAGCGAATCAAGTCACCTGACGACATTTAACAGCCCATTCGGTCGATTTTGCTTCCAAAGGTTGCCATTTGGCCTGAATGTCAGCCAAGATGTATTCCAGGAGCGCATGGACAACATATTGGAGCAGTGTCCGGGCGTAGCTAGAATAGCGGATGACGTCGCTGTATTCGGGAAAGACCAAGCTGATCATGATGCCAATCTGCGCAACGTCATGAAGGTAGCACAGGAGAACGGACTCGTATTCAACCCTGACAAGTGCGAGATAAACAAACCGTCCATGAAATTCTTTGGCATGGTTTATGATGCAAATGGAGTGCACCCCGACCCTGACAAGGTCATGGCAATCCGAGAGATGGAATACCCGAAGAATGCAAAACAGTTGCAAGAGTTTCTCGGAATGGTGACATACCTATCACCGTTCCTGCCTCATGCATCCCAGCACACAGCGCCACTGCGAGATCTGATGAAGAAGGGTGTTGTTTTTTAATGGACTCCCTCCCACCAATCAGCATATGACAAGCTGATTACGCTCATCTGTCGAGAGGTAACTCTCAGCTATTTTGACCCGCAGCAGCCATCTACCCTCAAGTTGACGCGTCAAGCAAAGGTCTAGGAGCTGTTCTGATCCAAAACAACAAGCCGATCGCTTTCGCGTCCAAAACCTTGAGTGATTGTGAGCAGCGATACGCCAATATAGAGCGTGAACTTTTAGCGGTGGTTTTTGGATGCGAGAAATTCCATACTTATTTGTACGGAAAGCAGT